GGTAATGAATTCAGTGCACATGCCCCTGAGGCATATTGAGGAGCCAAAGAATGAAACCACTTGCTTGTGTAATAGGTCCATTTTTTTTTTAATTTAAGATAAGTTGCAATCTGTCTCTTATTTCCCAATTCCCATCCTTGCACGATATTCCGATGATGGTGCATTAGTACATTCAGTTTCCATGTAGATCACTGAACTGACATAGGAGACATCTTTTCTTTGCCTTATTTGCTTATTTATCTATTTATTTATTTATCTATCTATCTATCTATCTATCTATCTATCTATTTATTTATTGTAATTTTACCACAATTATTGCATTTTACAAAAGCAGCATTTGCTAAATACTTAAACATAGAGAAGATTAAAAGACAAAGTGAAAATTAAAAGATAAAGTGTCAGGCAGGAAACTAAATTTCAAGTAGTGTAGAAATTAAAGTACCATATGGACATGATTTCTATATACAGATGTATTCCATTTTGTGTTACTACCCCTTTATGAAGAGATTAATGTAATCTCAGTTCTCATAAGTAATTTAATTTAAATTAAAGTCAATCACCTCAGGCAGCATAACAGCAAATGTCATGACAAGCTAAGAGAAAATCTCGAAATTAAGTATGTTTAAATTCTGCTTGTTGTAGTTGATTGTCCCATGTGCTCTAGACTATAAAAGTTCTTGATGCTGCATTATCCTCCTGTTTATCTTCTAATTTGCTCTGAAAACTGCAGTTGTAAACATATTGTTATCTATGGTAAGTAGTCCTTCGCCCATATTTCTGTGAGTAACCCATGAAACTTGATTCATCAAGTTGGGCTCTTGTAAATAACCCCTCACACATGTTCCTATAAGCAATTCTAATTAAACTTATTGGTCCACTTAAAAAGTGAACATGGGAATAGAATCATTTGGAAGGAAAACAATAGGAGCTGTACTGGAATTTTAAAAGGAGAACAATGGTGTACACATGATAAAGATACCCACATGAATATATGGACATGTTATAATAGGGCATGTCATTACAAACCAATAAACAATTAAAGAAATAATCATAGAAGAAAACAAATAAGGCAAACAAAGGGTTTCTTCTTGAATACACTGCTCCTCAGCAATTTTGAATAAATGTCTGTGGTATTTACAGTCTGATCCATTCATTTGGATTGTTATTTACAACATTATGGTTTTAATTTACAATTTGTCTGTGTAAGCCTCCTGTCCCTAGTAGACTAAAATATGACTGTGTTTCAGAGTGTGAGTTATATTTCTGTATTTCCCTTGGCATCCATAGGACCAAGTCTTGCCTTCTCCAAATGCTCCTTGATTGATGGAGGATTCAAGCAGCCAAAATTTCAGTGCCAAATGTCACTAGGAAACCTCTTCTTGCATTACCCATAAATTATGTTCTCAAGCTTTCCTAGAAGGCACCATGGATCTGGAGGCCTTTGGTCAGCATATGACAGGGTAGTCATCTGGTACTGTCATCATTAGTGTCTGACAGAATAACTGAGGTTGAATATGACAGTGCTCATTTTCTACTGTTGACCTAAACATACAGTTCTAACTTCTGCATGCTAAAATTATGTTCCAGCCTGAGACAATTTCAATCCCCCAAGGTACACTTTATCACTGACAAGTTCTGTGTACCTTTCTGATTCTGTTATGCATAATCATAACTAATAGAAGATTGACAGGAAAATAATATTTAAATACAAGTCTCCTAAATCTCTATGGATGATCAAAATGTAAAGATATGCCCTCTCTGATACATACAAACACCTCTGTTACAAAACCCTGTTATCAAATTTGCAAGCTTCCATTTTCTCATTCTACTCAGAGTATTTTATTTAAGAAACATGGACTCTTAGCTCTTCCAAGTTCTAATATTTCTTGATAACACTCTCACTCGGAACCAGACCACTAATACATCACTTGAAATAGAGTCAATATCCAAATTTCTGTATTTACATTAAATCACACTAAAATATTGTATGTGCTTGAATGCCTATATTGGTAGCTGGCTTCTAAATCATGGAGAATATCTGAACTGTAATAATAAATGGACTCGAAGGAGCTGATCTTATCTCATATATGTTCTCCAAATAAGAAGGATCATGGATTATGCTTCATAACTGTGAACATAAAAAATATTATCACTCAAAGTGATTAATTCACCTCAATTTGCATTATAAGTCAACTTCTCATCACTATGCTAAGTGTTTCAGGCATTTTTTTCTGCCATTGATCATTACTATAACTTTAGAAAGAAGTTTTATGGTTGTTCATGTGTGTTTTTGTATGAGGTACAGATGCACATATGAGCATACACATGGAAACCAGAAGACAGCCTTAGGTTTCACCCCAAGGAACACAACCTGCCACCTCTGAGACAAGGCCTCTTACTGGCCTGGAGCTTACTGATTAAGCTGGGCTAGCTGGCCAGCAAGATCCAAGGATCCATCAGTCCCCACCCAACCCAGATAGGGTTAAGATTTGTATGCCACTATGGTCAGTTTTTTTTTTTATGGTGTCTTGGGATTCAATTCAATTCCTTGTGCTTTTAATACAAACATTTACAACTAATCTGTCTTGAAAGCTTAGAAAATATTTTCCCTGTTTTTCCTGTAATAGACTCATAGGTGATCTCCTGTGACTTACACTTCTTTATTGAGACACACTTGTTGAATTAATAACTTATCCATGAGTTGATGTAGTGGTTTGAATATGCTCGGCCCAAAAAGTGGCACTATTTGGAGGTGTGGCCTTGTTGGAATAGGTGTGGCCTTGCTGGAGGAAGTGTGTCACTCTGGGTGTGGGCTTTAAGACTCTCTTTGTAGCTGCTGGGAAGTCAGTCTTCTGTCTGCCTTTGGATGAAGATGGAGAACTCTCAGGTCCTCATGTCCCAATCTGCCTGGATGCTGCCATACTCCACCTTGACGATAATTTACTGAAACTCTGAACCTATAAGCCAGCCCCAATTAAATATTGTCCTTAAAAGAATTGCCTTGGTCTTGCTGTCTGTTCATAGCAGTAAAACTCTAACTAAGACAGTTGATCTTATTTCTTGATGTCTAACAAATAGAATATGGCAGAAGTGGTTGGTTGCCATGCCCAAGATTAGATCAGAAAAAGCCTATGGCTTCTATTTTGGGTTTTGTCACAGTCATTATTGACTGAAAATATTAGAAGATTTAGAATCAACTCAGGGTATATCTTTGAGAGACTCTACACTGGGTTAATTGAGGTGGGAAGAGCCACTCTCAGTATGGGTGTTACCAATCACTGCCTTGAGTCCTGCACTCAATGAAAAGGATAAACTGAGCTAAGTGTTCATCTCTCTCTGTTTCTGGACTGCAGATGCCACATGACCAACCAGCTACCTCAAGCTCCTGCCATCATAGGATGCCCTCAAGCTGTGAGCTGAAATTAATTCTTCCCTGAATTTGTACTGAGAGAGCTTGTGTCAAGAGAACTTCTTCAAAGGTGATAGCATAGGGCATAAAATAATCTTCAGCAACACTGTCTCAACGTATACATGAACTTGAGACTTCCCCATGACCTAACCAGACTTTTACTATTATATCATATTCTTTAATATTGAACTTAATTATATTTAGTCTATTTGAGTAATAAAATTCACATAACAGGAGAAGAATGGCTTCTAACAGAGAATAATACATTGTATAATGTATAATGATAGTCCACAGCACTGCAATAGAATATTGACTTAGATTATTTAATCTTTAGATTTCTCACAGGCTTTGGTGACAGTTCCATACACTTCTGCCCTAGCTTAGAAATATGACCTAACTTCTTTCAGTACTTGCCATCTAAGAAAATATAGTGCCTCTTGATGGCCAAGAGATATCCACAGGATAGCTAATGGAGTTAATGGTGAGAGATGAGAAATATTCTATCTTTCCTCTTATAAGAAATTCAGTTTGGAAGCTCCACAAAGAACACATTAACTTAATGCAATTGCTATTTTTTCCAGAGGAACCAAAATTGGTTCCTACCATGCATGTTGTATAGCTCAAAACTACCTGTAACTCCTCTTCTGAGTTTAGTGTGCACATATTCACACAAATGAAGTATAGAAAACATGCACCACACATACACATGCTCACACACACATGTACACACTCAAACAGGCACAAGACTGTTTCTCAGAATTCAGCCAATTTAGAACCATTTATAAAGGTTTCATCTTATCCGTAAGCAGCATAAAGCAGTATATACTTAGTACCCTTAAAATGTGTTTAAGAAATACAATTGTTAAAGCTCATCAATTAATATGAAATAGAACATGGGGGCTGTAAAACCTAATCCCATGATGTTGTAGAAATATGGCATGGAAGCCAGACAAATTGTAAATGAATTTGCAGCTCTATCATTATGGAACTTGTGGTTCTGGAGACATCTCTGTAATCCTTCATTTCCTAGTGTGCAAAGTATGAAAACAACAGACTTTTCCTAGGGGGAATAGTAAAGATGATATGATGAAAGCGATCTCTATTCCGGACCAAGTAGGCTACTCTATAGATGTCATAGGTTGTGTGAAATATTTCTGGATGTGAAAGCTAACTCTCATTTTTCTGATTATCCTACAGTGAAGCAGTTGAGAAACATGTTGAAGTACCCATGGTTAATTCAAACTTATGTTATTTTGTTTGTCTAAATAATAGATGTGAAGGAAGGCAAGCCTTTTGACATTTATAGTATATTTTCCAGCACTGGACCACCCTTCATCCTCGTGTATGATTTGGTATGTTTTAGGCAGAAACTTGGCCTTGGATGGCTTAGGTGAAGAAATATTTATAAACAAAGGAAAGGGGAAGAGAATTGGGGTGTGAAACAGGAAGGGACAGGGAGAAGAGGATGGTGAGAAGACACTAAGGCAGACAGGGAATGGTGAGAGAAGAGGGGAGGTGAGGAGAAGAGAGGTTAGGGGAGAAGAGGGGAGGAGGGGAGGGTGATTACGGAAGAAATCAACGAAGTCTGTACCTGTGAGGATTTCAGTTCCATGTCCTGCCACTTTCTTAATCAGGAGCCTCAGAGTACCACCCTCTAGAATAAGTAGCAGTGTTCTTGAGCCTTCAGACAGCTTTGTGGACAAAAGCAGACCATCTTCATTCCATGTTCGAAACTGGAAACTCACTGACAGACCATCAATTTGAGGGGTTCCTGGCAGTAGCAAATAACTGCTCCTGGAGTTGACAAATGTGATGGGCACAATTTGTGATTCTGAGCAAGAAAAGGTGACATTTCCCTGAAAAACAATAAAATACAAACAAATAAAAGCCATTTTTTAAAATTTGGCAATATGATAAACAGTCAGTATATACAACCATACAGCACTGACCTTAAATTCAGTATCATTCCACATTTAACTTCAGAATCTTAAGGGGAATAATATGTCAGCGTTGCTCAGGTCAATTCATTCTGTTCATGTCTTAAGATCACAATGCTATCTGTAAAAGGCAGTCTAAGATTCTAAAGAGTAGGGCAAGAAAAAGTCAAGATCTTCTAGGGAACTAAAGATATAAAAATAATTACTTTAATACCCTGAGAAAAGCCATGTTTTGTGTCAACTCTATTCCAAACTCTAGAATAGCACTGAATAAAATACACATAGAAGAATACTATTATAAGAAGGAATGTGCTACAGAGAGATTGATTGTGCCTCTCTAAGAAGAATGGCATGAGAGGAAGAGAGAAAGAGAGAGAGAGAGAGAGAGAGAGAAAGAGAGGGAGGGAGGGAGGGAGGGAGGGAGGGAGGGAGGGAGGGAGGGAGGAGAAAGGCTTTTTAGGAAGAGATACCTTCATGGAAGGGGGTGGGCAAGGAGAGGAAGGAATGTGCTTCTGTTGTAACTGTCTTCAAAGATACACTGCAAAAGTCTTTGGGAAATAAGCACAATGGAACCACTGGGGAGCACAGAGAAATGGAAGGAATTAGAAGGGATGGTAAATTCCAAGGACATAAAACAGAAACAGAGAACAACACTAAAGTGATGTTGGCTACGTTTTAAATTTAGTAAGAATATTTGAAGTTAGTAGTACAGGATAAAGCTAAACCTGCAAGAATATTAAAAATGTCTTATATTAGTTGGGGGATGTAGCTCAGGTGATTGAGGGCTCATCTAGCATATACAAAGCCACTAATAAATCTTCAGAAACATATAAGCTAGGCAAGCACACCTGTAATTTAGATCTCAGGAGATAGATGCAGGGGGGTCAGAAGTTTAGGGTTACCCTTGACTACTTAATGATCAGATTGGGCTGCAAGAGACAACAACAAAAAGAATCAGTTTGACTAAAGTAGAGAAAGGGGTGATCAGATTACTATTTGCATAATTCCATAAGAAATAGATTCCTGTATGTATAAGACCCACAATATAAGTTCACATCAGCATATTGACCCTTTCTATAGAGTAGTATAGAAAACAGCCTGGACTATTGTTTGAAGAGTGCAGAAGGGTTATTTTGTAAAAGTCATTTGGTGTTAAGATAACAAACTCTACATCCAAACATATCATGCCTTCATTTGAACTACCTAGCTACTTTAGGCTCTAAAACATAATCTCCAAAACAATGAGTGCCCCTCTACTAGTCTCATTCAACAATGCTATATATTACATACCCCACAGATGCATCCTTCTATAACCATTGAACATCAATTTTGCATGACAGGATTCAATTTTGGTAGCTCTCCTTCCCAGGCCAATACTATTGGTGGAAACAAGGGAGGCCACCTCTAGGAACCATGATATTCAGGTCAGCTGCTTATACCCAATTTCCACTAGTGTCCAAGTGTCAGGGCAAGATACTTAGTGCAGATCAGGAAGCCACAAGTCTAACCCACAGCATCACTTTTCAGAGGAGACATTCATAGGTTTGGATTTAATAAATAACTACTTGCTATGCCAGAATACTGACCTGAGTGCACATTTTCAGAAACCAAATAAAGTGCTTGTGTGGCAGTGTACAATTGTAATCCCAGAGCAAGCAGCTAGATACAGATGTGTTCTGGATGCTTGCTAACCAGGCAGTAAATTTAAATTGATGAATTCCAGGTCCAAGGAGAGACCCTGTCTGAAAATTTAATTTGAAAAGCAACAGAAGCAGAAAGTTCATAGTAAGTGCTGGCTTCTACAAACATATACCTCCAGACTCCTGCATAGCATATAAACAAAACATCTCAAGGTCTCAACTACATTTCTTTATGGTTTTTGTGTGTTCATATAAACAAATAACCAGACCAAATTGAAATTGTAACAATACTTGTACATTTGTAATCATTCACTATTCACGCAGCAATTAGGCTACCTAAGCATGAGTCATTGCTTGTGGTTATACAGATGTTTTCATATCTTTAGAAATGATTTCCACAGTTAATGGTTGCAGGGGATATTCATCAAGAAACACCAGGCTAGGCAAAAGGCCAAATACTTATATGTGACCTCTAGATTCTGCACTAGGCAGGCTTTATGACTCTACTTAAAGGACATACAAACCTTATCTTAATTAAGTCAGAATTGAGATTGGTATGCATACTGCTTGGTCTCCAAAGCCTGTGTATCTCACAGGAGGTCTGCCCTAACCAGGGACATAGATGAGTCCACTTCCACCAATACCCTTGAGAGCTGGGACCCCTCCCCCACCAAGCCCCCCAGACATGGAATCAATCCCACTTTGCCCAAGCTCCATTGACAATCCAATATGTACATTCACCTGTACCCATGGGAAATCTGCATGTCTGCCCCACCACCCTACTAAATAGCTGGCCTGTCTCCCAGGAGGTCTGCTCTAACCAGGGACACAGGAGGCCTGCTCTAACCAGGGACACTGGAGGCCTGCTCTAACCAGGGACATTGGAGGCTTACCCTAACAAGAGACAGTACTACCTCCCTCCCAGGTGGCCTGCTTAAACCCAGGTCACACAGCTCTACATATCTCTGAGGAGGACTGCTCCAATCTGAGCCACCCAGGCCAGTTAACACCAGAAATAACCAGATAGAGAAAGGCAGGCTCAAGAACATAAGAAAACAGAAGCCAATGTAATGTGACACCATCAGAAACCAGTTCTCCTACCACAACAAATCCTCAATACCCTAACACAGATGAAGAGCAGGGTTCTGACCTAAAATCCCATCTCCTTAAGATGATAGATGCTCTTAAGGTGCATATAAATAATTCTCTTAAATAAATACAGGAAAACACAGGCAAACAGTTAGAAGCCCATAAAGAGGAATCAAATAAATCTCTTAAAGAAATACAGAAAAATATAATAAAAAGAGTGAAGGAATTGAACAGAATCATTCAAGACCTAAAAATGAAAATATAAACAATAAAGAAATCACAGATGGAGGCAAACTTGAAGATGGAAAACATAGGAAAGAGAAGAGAGAACCTCAGATATATAAGATACTTACTTGTCTTAGTCAGGGTTTCTATTCCTGCATAAAACATCATAACCAAGAAACAAGATGCAGAGGAAAAGGTTTATTCAGGTTACACATCTATATTGCTGTTCATCACTAAATGAAATCAGGAACTTGACTGAAACTCAAGCAGGTCAGGAAAGCAGAAGCTGAGGCAGAGACCATGGAGGGATATTACTGGCTTGCTTCCCCTGGCTTACTCAGCTTGCTTTCTTATAGAACCCAAGACTAGCAGCCTAGGGATGGTGCCACCAATGAGCTGGGCCCTATCCTCTTGTTCACTAATTGAAAAAATGCCTTACAGCTGGATCTCATGGAGGCATTTCCTCAAGGGAGGCTCCTTTCTCTGTGATAACTCCAGCTTGTGTCAAGTTGACACACAAAACAACCCAGTAAAATGGACCCCTTGTCAACTTGACACACGAATATATTACTATTAAGTCTGAAGCCTTACTTTTTTATTCATCCTGAAGATCAAAATAACTTTAGAAGTCCCACAGTCTTTACAAATTCGAAAACGAATTTACAATTCGTTTAAAATATCCAATCTCTTAAAATTCAAAGTCTTTTTACAATTCAAAGTCTCTGTACTGTGGGTTTCATTAAAATACTTTCTTCCTTCAAGAAGGAAAGCTACCACTACACAGTTATAATCAAAAGCAAAATCAAACTCTTAACTGTACAATGTCTGGGACTCACTCATGATCTTCTGGGCTCCTCCTTGTGCTTGGGTAACTTCTCAAGTTCTGCCCTTAATAGTACACACCTTTTCTTCTTGGCTCCAGTTGCCTGTACTCCACTGCTGCTGTTGTTCTTGGTGGTCATCTCATGGTACTGGCAACTCCAAAACACTGCTGTCTTCTACTGCAACAAGGCTTCACCAATAGTCTCTCATAGGCCCTCATCAGCATGCAAAGCCTCAACTCCTTTGCATGACCCCATGAGTCCTGAGCCATCAATTGTAACTGAAGCTTCATCTTCACCAATGGCCTTCCACAGCCTCTCACATTGCCTAGCCTCAGCTGTTCTTCATGATCCCTTCATGCCTTCTAAACCAATACCACCTGACCCTTACAAATTACCAAGTCCAGCTGCAGTATGAGGTACAACTAGAGCTATCACTGGAACAAGCTTCTTTGTGCTCTCAGATAACAATTTCCAGAAGATTTTTCACCTCAATGATGTTGGTCTCTCTCCTTTTTTAATTCAATATTTTATTTATTTACATTTCAAATGTTATCCCCCTTCCCAGTTTCCCCTCTGCACAACACCTACCCCATTTCCATCCCCTAGATGCTTCTATGGGCTTCTCACCCACCCACTCCCACCTCACTGCCCTGGCATTCCCCTACACTGGGATATCGAGCCTCTATAGGACCAACGGCCTCTCCTCCTATTGATGACAGACAAGGCCATCCTCTGCTATATATGAAGCTGGAGCCATGGGTCCCCCCATGTGTACTGTTTGGTTGGTGGTTTAGTCCCTGGCAACTCTGGGGGAGAGGTCTCATTGGTTGATATTATTATTCTTCCTATGAGGTTGCAAACTTCTTCAGCTCCTTCAGTCCTTTTCCTAACTTCTCCATTGGTGATCCCATGCTCAGTCCAATGGTTGGCTGCATCCATCCACATCTGTATTTGTCTGGATCTGGCAGAGCCTCTCAGGAGACAGCTATATCTGGCTACTGTCAGCAAGCACTTCTTGGCAACTATAATAGTGTCTGGGATTGGTGTCTATATGCTGTATGGGTTGCCAAATAGGAAAGTCTCTGGATGGTCTTTCCTTCAGACTCTCCTCCACACATTGTCCCTGTATTTCCTTTAGTGA